TAGAATATTTTCAAAAGAAGACAGAAGGAAGGCCAAGAAGCACATGAAAACATTCTCAAAGTCACTAATTATCTGAGAGATGCAAATCAAAACAACAATGCAGTACCATCTCACACTGTCAGAATGGCCAACATCAACAAATCAACAAATGACAAGTGTTGGCAAGGTTGTGAAGAAAAAGGAACCCTCGTGCACTGCTGGTGGGAATGCAGACTGGTGCAACCACTATGGAGAACAGTATGGAGCCTCCTCAAAAAACTGAAAATGGAACTTCCATTTGACCCAGTAATCCCACTCCTAGGAATATATCCCAAGAAGCTAGAAACACCAATCAGAAAGGATATATGCATCCCTATGTTCATAGCAGCACAATTTATAATAGCTAGGATTTGGAAACAGCCTAGATGCCCATCAGCAGATGATTGGATCCAAAAACTATGGTACATCTACACAGTGGAATATTATGCAGCCATAAAAAAGAAGAAATTCTCATCATTTGCAGCAACCTGGTTGGAATTGGAGAACATCATGCTGAGTGAAATAAGCCAGTCAATGAAAGAGAAACACCACATGACCTCACTCATTTATGGATAATAAAGAACATTATAAACTGATGAACCAAAAGATAGATATAAAGACAGTAAAGCAACAAGCAGACTGTCAAATTGCCATGGGAAGGGTAGGGAGATCTGGGGTAGATAAGAGATCAACCTAAGGACTTATATATATGTATATAAGTACAACCAATGGACACAAAACTCTGGGGAGGGAGGGCATTTATAGGAGGGGGGGACAATGGTATATGTACACAGATAACAATTTAATTTGAAAAAATTTTTAAAAGATTTGTGTTACAAAAATAAAAGCTATAATAGATGGGTGAAAAAAATATCCGTGAGTGAACTCTGCAAACTTGAACGCCACAGTGAAGTAAGCTTTCATGTACAGCCTGCAGTGGTGGCATTTTGTCAATTTAGAAAATGTCTGATTTCTAGAAATATTAGTGCCTTAGACTCCTATAACTCATTGATTAATATCCTTGTGAAGGTATTTTATCACGGGGAAAAGGTAAAGTAAATAAACCATATTTTCTTGTTCTGATTCTTTTCTGAGAAATGCCACTCTGAATTTTTACTCATAAGCCTAATAGTATTTTTTTTTCTAAAATATACTTTAAGACATACTTTACAAAACATAGGGAACATACAGGGAGTGCAACTTGGAGGCATAAGATGACTTAATCATTCCAGAGAGATTGTTTTGTTTATGGTAGTGTATTTACTAGGGTAAGAAAGTATCTTAAAATGTATTAGGGAGACTTTTGACAAGAATGAAAATAAATAAAAAGAGCTTGTTCTTTAATAAGTACATCCCATTAACAACAATGCTATCCCATATTTATATAATAGTATGACATAGCCTTTCATAGCATTAAGCATTGAGTTTGCTATCAAGTGGGCCTGCAGTATGTATCTATTGAGTGACCTGTTGAAATAATATGCACTGTGTCTAATTGGATCCATAAAAGCTCACAGGATAGTCAGGACAAATGATTTTATCCACATTTAACTCAGGAGCCAAGTTCAGGGCAGTTTAGGGCTTTCTACATGGTTTTTGACTACATGGCTGAGCCAGAGGCAGCACTGGGTGGTCTGTGGTTGCCCCAGGCCTTTCCGTACCCCCTGCGGCAAAAGAATAAGAAAGCCATTCGAGAGCTGGAATATATCTTCTAATTAGAGCAAAGGGGCTGGACTGGTGTAAAAACATTTTTCCAATGCATGAGACAATGACCGATGTTAGGAGGTTCAAAACATGAGGATCGGATTAAGGATAATAGTAACAAATGCAAAAAGCAAAGATAATCCCATGGTCATGATGTAGAAAGATGTCAAGAGAGCCTTCTCAACACCTGAACTGTAACCCGAATGGTGTTGGAGGAAAGACGGGGGAATGCTAATAAGAAATATGATGAAAGGTGGGCCTCTGGTTATAAATTGCTTTTCTAATGGTGATGATAGTAGCTGACATAGAGGATAATAAGAAGATGAGAATGTCAGTATCAATTTTTATTAGCGTCATGAATAATATAGTGTATTTAAATTAGCTGCTTTTGGTTTAGTATTTTTGTAAGTGGTATCTCTGGAAGCAATAGCATGTTCAATGCATTCTAAAAAGGAAAACTAAATAAAGTTGCCGATGTTCTCTGTAAAATAGACTTAACTTTCATATCGAGGAAAATATGCTACCTTGTCTAAGATACTCAAATTTCAGACGCAAAAGAAATTCTGGATTCTAGGTCTCCACAAACCTGAGGGGAAAAATGGAGGAACAAGTGTAGCCTCAAATGTACAAATGAAGTTGTACAAAATTAAAGACACTAGAAATATAACCTAGCAAGTGAATTATAACTTTTTTGCAAGAATTTACATAGAATAATCATTAGGGTCTGTATCTGGGGTCAATTTAATCCATTTCAGCAGCAACTTGGAGTCTACTCAGCCTAAGCATGATTATTCCGTTGAAAACAAGCAGTTATAAAATTAACAGGAATCGGGAATTTTTACAAACTGGTTCTTATTCAAGAAAAATAGGTGAATTAATTTGGTTTCTAAATTTTATCAGCAATTATCACCAGTTTTCTGAGTTGGTCTAACAAATTAGCTAACATTAAATATCTGATAAAAAAAATAATTTTTAGGGAATTAGAACAACTTATTACTATATTGTTTTATTATTTTTAATTAAAACATATTCTTTGTTTGAATTTCAGAAAATTAAGCTTGAAGAAACACACCATAAGTGTTAAAGCATAAAATTTCAAAATCCAGCTGAACCGTTTCTTTTTTTTAACTTATAATCTAAGCAGGTACTATTAATTGTGTAGGACAAAAAGCTTTGTTTGGAGTTGAGAAACTGGTCTCTGAATCAGAAGACTGGATTACTTACTAGTGGTGAAATCTTGGACTATTTACATAAGCTATTTAGTTTCATTTTTTTCCATCTGAAAATTGGAACTCTCATCGTTTTGGTTTTTTTTAATATAATGTTGTTGTGAGGATTAAATGACAATGCTCAAGAATGTCTGGCATACAATAAGATCACAATAAATATTAGTTCTATTATTATAATAAATGCTAATAAAGTAACTTAAATAGTAATTCCTATTCCTCCAGAAAGTTCTATTAAACATTCCTCCTCCCTTCCCACAAGGTTGCTTCTCTCTATGAATTCCTTCCCTTTTCTCTATGAATTATATATTTCTCTTTGGCCAAAAGCACACACTCATTTTTCAATATCCTCTTTTCTTTTTCATGTTACCACACACACGACACGTCACTCAAAATGCCTCTCCCCTCCCCTCGGAATAGTGGGAGTCTCTAAAAAAGACTCTGGATGACCACTTTCACGGCCCAGGCGAGCGGACTGTGGGCTCCTGGGCGCCCAGTTTCTGTGGCGGACCGGGAGGAAGCCGCTCCCCGTGCTGGCGAACACCTCACCCACTCTGGGCCTTTGATCACGTCACCGTCTTTTGATCATTCTACAGGGAACATGAAGTCTCCAAACAGATAGGACTTTTAAATGAGGACAGATTCTAAAACCAAGAATTTAAGTGAGCCAGAAAACTTCAATATTTTCATTCTGTCTCAGTGTGGGTTAGGCTCTATGCTTTGCTCTCATAGAAAAGTAGCTTGTCATGTAAAATTCTCAATGATTACGCCGATAATGGAGGCAGGGAGACAGGGATTCCCCACTAAAATATTTCCACAGCGAAGAGCATTAGCGTGAAAGCTTGTACTCAGGTCTGATGGGTTTGTGTCCCACGAAGTGGGTGAACCAAAACAGACAGGATGAATTCTGGGACAACAGAAGCAACTCGGTCCTTGCTTGGGGAAACCACAGAGCACAGTTGCCTGGAAAAAGAACTATGTGAACTGTGAATGCACATATGATCAATGTCAGCGTGGATCAGACACTGTGACATAGCCTTCAGTTTCCCAACATTTCCCTGAGGATCACATACAGGCCACTGTTGTCTTCACAGAAAGTGGGGTGAGTTAGTGGGCCTGGGACTTTCTGGGCTTGCAACAGTAAACCTAGAGCAGAGGCAAGGTTCTAATCCTGTTCCTAAAAACAATTTCACTACAAAGTGTCGCCAGTACAGGAAACGTATTGTCAGTACGTGTTTATCTTCAAATATGTACTTAAAACAACCACATGAGCCTGGCTGGTGTGGCTCAGTGGTCAGGGTCCCATTCCCACTCAGGGCACCTGCCCAGGTTGTGGGCTCGATCCCCCAGTAGGGGGCCTGCCGAAGGCTGACCATCAATGATTCTCTCTCATCATTGATGTTTCTCTCTCTCTCCCTTGCTCTCTGAAATCAATTAAAAAAATATATTTAAAACAAATAAATAAATACTTTTCAAAAACCACACTGTACCTCACAATGATACTGTGAAAGGAAATCTAATTGGAGTTTATTCTGCAAAACCTATTAAGGTGGACTTTTCAGAATATTACCTGAGGTGCATTTACAGTATACGTGGTGGAAATGCTTGGACCCACCCCAATGCCTATCAGTCACATTAGAAAAAGTCATGTGGTTACCTGGTAGAATTATCTGAGTATTAAAGAAAGAAAAAAAAAAGGAGTAAAGAATTTAAAACGTGGGTTATCCATTAATCAAGTTCTTCACTTACCATCCGGCACAAACAAACCACATGTGAGGTGTGTACACAGAGGCAGCACACACTCTACGGAGAAAAGTGGAAAATTACTCACATTACAGCAAAAACGCTGTGGGTTTTGTTATCACAAGAGAAGTTTGAACCGTTTTAGGTTAATCATCAATAGTGTTTCCCCTTTTTGGTGTATAGACAGAGTCTACATGGAGTAAACCCATTGGCTTTATTCCTCATACTAAAACAGGGATTCTGAATACAAAACATTCTAATAATTAAAGCAAATCAATGTTAGAAAAAGTAATGTAGGACAAACCTTACCTGAGCTCCTGGATTAGAGAATTCATGGGCACTGTTGGAAAAAAATATATATCAGTTACTAATTTTGAAAACTGTGCAACTGAAATTATTCACCTACCTAGACATACTGCCCAGCAGATGGCTAGTCTAGACCCCACTCAGGTTCCCAGGGGTGGGTCGATTGTTGCTGGTTCTGGTTCCTTGGAGACAGGAGGACAAATGACTATGGCCCAGAACAGATGACTCTAGGTTTAGTGCCTAGGGTGGCCCTGGGAACTTGATGTCATGGGTTGGACTTTCTGAATATCTGTCTTTAGTAGAGATACATTCAAAAATCACAGGGGCATGAAGGACTTGAATTACTTTTTAAATCAATTTAACCCATTTTATTGTTTATGAAGAATTAAAACACACACACACACACCCCTATTTACATTCTAATTGACATTAAACAAGCATATAAATAGAACTGGCAAAAGGTTTACTAAAAAATATGTCCCAAGATTTGTTTCACACATTTTATACATGGAGAGAGGAGGATAGGCATCAGCCATGTTAAATATCAACATCTTTCAAAATAAGCAATTCATAGAGAAGAGAAAAAAAAGAGCTTTGATTTTTCTTACTGGGAAGATGGGAACTAAAGTGCATGTTTATAAATACCTGCCTACACGAGGATAAGCAGCATATTGAGGGAGACAACAGGTGGTTCGGAAGATTACTCATGCTGCACAAGAAACAGTTGTCTCATTTCTCCAAGAACATTTTGGCTCGATTTAAGAATGTATATGTATGTGCCAAAGGAATTCGAAGTAAAAAAAAAAAAATTGCAAATTAAAACAGCCACAGTCTCCAAGTGTGCTAGAGTAGTGTGCTTTTAGGAGTCTAAGCAAGAGATTATTATCCAAATACAGTCCCTAGAACTCTGTTATTTATGGCAGACATGAGCTTCTATTAAATAATAATGCAAACTCTTTTTGTTATATTTATATTTAATGGGGAAGTTTGCTACATAAAATCTTAATGTTTAGAAATACTATATTCTACTAATAAATATTACACTATATGATGCAATTACTTTAAAGGTAACTCAAAACTAAAACTGGAAAATAATACAGTGTCAAATTTCTGTTTAGGGAAAGCCCCATATCTCATATTTGCATTATGCTATATTTTGGTCATCATGTCTAGTGATAAACATAATTACATTTTAATGGGGGTGGGAGGGAAATCATCCTGGTATTTATTTAAAATTTTGGAATCTGAACTTTTCCCAAACAGGAATTATTGACCTTGACTACATATGTAAGCATAGCTAACAAAAGCATTCCATTGACCTTGACTACATATGTAAGCATAGCTAACAAAAGCAAGCCACTTTCAACGATGAATCTCAAAATGTTTCCAAAGTATCGCCCCATTGCTACCTGACTAAGGCCTGAGTACTCAGCCAGGCCGACCGTGAGAAGGCTCGGTGGGAATGGCTACCCAGAGCCTTTCCCGACGCCATGATGAACCTACAGACATCCATTTACAATTAAGAGTCGCAAAAAGACAGCTCATTATAATAAAAGTTATTTTCCTTAAGGTGTATTATTGCAAGTCAATCCCGTTTTCCAGATGTTTATATCATCAAGGGCCTGTTTCTATTTCAATGTTACATTACCATCTGTTGGTTACCAAAAGGGAGGGAGAACCATTAAGTTAAACCTTTCACACATTTCTTCACGGAGCTGTCTGAAATTCCCAGCAGGGGCAGTCAAAAGATAAACATCATCATTTTACTTGAACTAAGTTTAGATTGGGAGCCACGGAGCCAGATAACATAAAAATCAAAACCCATTTTTGGCAATAAACGAACAACGTGGTCTTTTCCCTGGGCCATTAAAGGTCACATCGATTGTGGGAAGGTCTCCAGGAAGCATCCTTCCCTCTCGGACCCTGATGTTGCTTTGCAAGATGTTCAAGTCTACTTCATGATTGCACTTCACAAAAATTAGCATCCTCTATCATTTGGGCTTCTCTGAGTCCTTTAGCTCCTGGTTCAGAATAGGCTGCCTCTCAATACCATGACCCAATGTTCTAGCTTGATTTACCAAAAAAGAGAAGAAGAAGGAGGAGGAGGAGGAGGAGGAGGAGGAGGAGGAGGAGGAGGAGGAGAAGAAGAAGAAGAAGAAGAAGAAGAAGAAGAAGAAGAAGAAGAAGAAGAAGCAGCAGCAGCAGCAGCAGCAGCAGCAGCAGCTCTGAGGAAGTTGTCACCATTCTGCATGCAGGAACTGAGCACCAGAACACCCATATTTCATGGTGTGGTGGGCACGGTGTCCTGGAACCTGCTTGCTAACTCACCCTTCGTTCCTTTGGAGTGGGTATGCTGCGTTTTAGCCTCAGCCTCTGCATCCATCTGTAACAGGAGCACAAGTCCTGAGGTCATTCCTTCGACATTGATCAAGATGTGAAAACATGTCATTAGAAGTTCTTAAGGTCACGATGAAAAGCAGAGTAGACTTCCGTGTTCTTGAATGGCATTCTGACCCCGCAGGGATAGAACTGTGGCTGCCCTCACACTCCCTGAGTTTGGGAAATAACTTATATAGATGCTGGAGCCACAGGAAACAGTGACAAGAGGGCAGATGTCCTTGTCCATAAGTGTTTGCTAGTGATTCAAACACGGTTGGCATTACAAGGACAGAAAGAAAAAGAGAGAAGAAAAAAAAAAAAAAAGGATTGTCTGATTCACAGTGGTTGTGAAGGAGCCAAAACCTCAAATGCCAAACCTAAAGGTTTCAGACTGATTTCCTAAAACTTGATTCCTTTGCATTTCTAGACCTTTTCTGATACATACCTCCTACAGAGTCAGAAAAGATTATTCCCCCTGTTAAAAAAAAAAAAAAAAAGCAACATGATGGCAACCCCTTGAAATGTCCCTATTTCAAAATACCATTGGAAATGTTGATTAGCAAAAATGGCGTGTATTTACTTTCAGAATTCCAGAATAAACACTGGTTATAATCACCCCAATCTATAAGGAAGGTGAAATTTGAGTGTCAGGTGTGGCAGTAAATATTTTAAAATGTCACCACTAACTATTTTAAATATAATCAAATACATTCTCAAAGGCAGACAAAAATTCTAGAAGCCTATAGCATTTGTCCACATGGAGATAGATGCTGACCTGGGTGCATACATCCATTTCAGTAGATTCCCCTGGCAATTTCTTAGCTTAGTTCACATTTACACGTTGTCAGGAGGGTTTCTTAAATAGAAAGAAGTTGCTTTGCTTGTTGGGAATCAGACACGGGCAGAAGGTGCTCTGTGTGGCTCCCGTCCCTAAATCCTGACCCTGGCGTGGAAGCCAGTGACTGCAATGGTAATGGGAGACGCATCTCTGCTCGCAGAGGCTGAGTTGTGATTGAAGGCACTGACCTGCCATAGACTTATAATAGGGGAGCAGGTGTGGCAATGATGGACTTTAATTCCCTTTAATAAACCTTTTATGTGCCACACTTTTACTGCCATTTGACGCTCTCCAAGGTCCTGCACATAATAGGTTCATTACTTTTGATTACTATAGTCTATTGAGACAAACAACTCCAGAACACACTATATATTATGTTCAGTTAAACCAATATAGACTATTTATCCATTGTGCATTTTTTCACCTGCAACACTACAGACAAAATTAACAGCAGCTCTCGTCAGCTAAAACTATTAAAACCACCAGCACTCTTTTGTCATCATTTCACAATAAACACCACACCAATCATTGTACTGCTTTTTTAAATTAGCAAACAAGAAGTGCACACCGCTTTTGCTGAGCAGCACAAAATGGTTCATTGTTATGAATATTTTTAAATTACATAACAAGACAAAACAACGATAAAACAAAGGTGGTGTTGTGTGTTTTTTTTCTGTAGATCCCCCTCCCCCTCCCCCCGCCCCTCTTAAAACCACATGGATTTATGACAGATGTGACACTGGCTAGGATTACAAAGGCTTGGTTTACTCAGGATGGTGAGCACTGTGTTGTAAAATCCTCCTCCTCTGTGAGCATCTCTGTTGCATATAAAGTGGCTCAACTCATGCAAACTCCCCTCCATGTGCTAAACGAATAACTAGATTGAGAGAGAATGGTAGCAAGGGGGTTAAAAGGATGAAAACCACCCACTCTTTCTGAAAAAGCTACTCAACTCAGGTGAAATGCTATCCTGCCACACAGGTGGTATTAGCTCTCCCCAGCCGCTGAGAATCTTCCCCAAGAGGCAAGTGAAGGTTGAACTCCATGTGTTTCTTTCCCAAAATGAAGCATAGACTGCAGAGTACCCACGGGCACAAATAAAAATTTCTGAAACCTCCTTAAATGTAACCTTCTTTAGAGCAGCTTTAAGTCTAGTTCTATCTATCTATGTGTTTGTTTGTTTGTTTGTTTGTTTGTTTGTTTGTTTTTAAATATCACCTGAGGAATGAGGATATTTTCCCCATTGATATTTAGAGAGAGTGGAAGGGGAGTCGGGAGCAAGGCAGAGAAGAGAGGGGAGAGAGAGACATCTATTTGTTGCCTCCTACATGCGCCCCAACCAGGGACAGGGAACGATCCTACAACCCAGGTATGCACCCTTGACCAAGAATCAAACCCGTGACCCTCCAGTGTGCACGCTGATGCTCTAACCTCTGAACCACACTGACCGCACCAGCCAGGGGCAATTTGGCTATCCGAGGACGCAACTGTGTTTTCATCAACCCACGCAGCCACTCCCCAGTGAGGTCGTTGGGAGGGACATGTAAATACGCATGGCCCTCTGCTTGATTGGGTTTAGAATGCAGGTTTATCATTGCATTTTATGGAGCTGCTGTCCTCTTGTTGGGGTAGCATGTATGTCCTGTATAAATATTGTAAAGACTGATACTCACTAACACAACTACGTTTTCAGATTTAACCTGTGGGCCAAGTTGTAGGAACAAAGTGGACCAAGGCCGTAATAATACAGACTATCTATTTCACCTTCTTTCTCTCCCTCACACCTGAAGAATAATAAAAGTATGAAAGTCAGTGTCCAGTCTTGTCTTATAGTTTGCCAGGGAGTAAAAATACAAGAAATCTAAAGCATGTGGGAGTGTAAGTTTCTACCATTTATGAGATGGCTCACTCTCCTCATGCATCCCAATCCTAAACAATAAAAGGCTAATATGAAAATCAACCAAACAGTGAAACAATGGGTCGCTATGACACACACTGACCATCAGGGGGCAGAAGCTCAAAGCAGGAGCTGCCCTCTGGTGGTCAGTGTGCTCCCATGGGGAGCTGGACTCATGGCTGGTGAGTGCAGTGGCAGTGGTGGGGGCCTCTCTCGCCTCTGCAGCAGCACGAGGGACCCCTGGGGGATCCTGGACTGTGAGAGGCTGGGGGCTGGTCTGAGGGGGACTCCCCCACCCCCAGGGCATGAATGTCATGCACTAGGGCTCTAGCTTGAAAACAAGTCTTTGTTCTCTAAAATCTTGAATATGAGAAAAAAGTCCATCAAAAAAGTCAATAAAGACATATTTTAAAAAAATAAAATCTTGAATATGAGAGTAAAAATTTCTATGTGTTCTTCATTTAAATTATTATCAGGAACTTTAATAAATTTCCAATGAATAGCCTTAATTTTTGTAAAATCAAACCTGATACTCAGTGAATATCTCATTCAGGTGATGGCTGACGAAAGGCAGAGAGAGACTTGTACCTCAGTGCACGTGCTGAGACCTAGGTGGATGTGGTGAGGATCATCATCTTCCAAGTCCTCTCAGATTTATAGAAGAGGCATGTAATTATGGTATGAATCAGGACACTGACCTAAATAACATGTGCTGCAATCCTAGAATGACTTTTCCCATTGGGAACATTGTTGTTTTTCATTGGGAAAGGAGACTTGATCATTTTTACTACTTAAGTCCCAAATGTTATTGGCAAGTCAGCAATTAATTTTGTAAAATTTAATGAGTCACTTCTTTTTTCAAAACAGAAATGTGATTTTCTAAAAAGCTGTCCTTCTCTCAGTTTCTTAGGGCCTTCATCTATCTCATTCCATTGTTTATAGAGGAACAAGACAAGACATTTTCTGAGATTCCTATGATTCCTCCTGGCTTTGCAGTCTACTTCTCAATAGAGTAATAATATTAAAGGTAGGCTTTGCCACTCTTATTTTCATTGATCTGAAACTACTTTTTAAAAAGTTTATTTAACTTATAGGCATGGATATGTTTAATATATGTATAATATAATATTATATAACTAGAGGCCCGGTACACAAAATTCATGCATGGGGGGGGGGGAGGTCCCTCAGTCTGGCCTGCATCCTCTCCAATCCTGAACCCCTTGGGAGATATCTGTCTACCTGCCTGCCTGATCTCTCCTAATTCCCCTCCCCTGCCGGCCTGATCACCCCTAACTGCCCTACCTTGCTGGTCTGATCACCCCTAACTGTTCTCCCTTTCTGACCTGATCACCCCTAACCACCTCTGCCTTGACTCCTGCCACTGTGGTTTTGTCTGGAAGAAAGGCAAGATGACCAGAAGATGTCCAGTTGACCCAGTCTAATTAGCATATTACCCTTTTATTAATAGATATAATATTTATATAGAAAGGAGGAAAAAAAGTAGTTATTGCTTGGTATCTGAATCATGATAAAGGCATGAGGAAATCTTGAAGAACACTTTATTTCCCAGATCTCTAGGAGTTTATGCAAGGAGAAATGACAAGAGGGAAAAAATTATAAAATAAAGAAAGCAAAGAAGCAAAAGTTGGAGGAAGGACATGCAAGAACAAACAATGGAAATAAGTAGAGAGGCAAGAAGAAAAATGACCACAAGGTAAAATGTAACTACTTAGTTGAATTTGGGGAGTTCTCATTTAACATCTTTATATGCTTATAAACCTATATACAGGTACATAGTCATTTTCTAGTTACTGGTACTTGAGCATCTTTTCTCACTGGTGCTTAGTGACACCTGATCTGTCCACAGCACCCCAGTGCAAAGATCTGGTACCTTCCTTTGTGATAATGAGAGAGCCCTGAAATTACCATTTTGGGGCATAGAGAGACTCAAGAAGCAGGACACATCATTCATAAACTCAATTTTGCTTTTATTCACACAAGTAAATTACTGGAATGTGAGTAGATTTGGTTTGACTTTATTTTTCACTTATAATCCTATTTTAACCTAATGGTAAGAAATATTCAAGTATATATATTTTTTAATTTTCTGCTTCTCCAATTTATTTATTTATTTTCTTTCAGTTGGATGTTGCTTTTGTTTTAGGTGTACAGCTTAGTGGTTAGACAATCATATACTTTACATCGTGTTTCCCTTGACACTTCCAGTACCTCAACTGGCAAGTTATCACAGTATTATTTTGTATATTTCCCATGCTTTACTTACTTCTTAAAAACTATATAAAACAAATCTTTTGGCCATGTTTCAGTTTTATGTCTCCTTCAACAGAACTCTAGACACAGACATCCTCACTACCCATTTATAAGTAATCTTGTGTTTCTTAATCCTATATAATAAAAGCCTAATATGCTAAGTGTCCTATCATTTGTCCAGTCGCTATGTGCGTAATGACCACCAGGGGGCAGATGCTTGACCAATAGGTTAGCTTGCTACTGGGGTCCAGCCAATCAGGACTGGGTTAGATGGGCTGGACACGCCCTGGAGCCCTCCCACGGTTCCTGCACTCGTGGGGTCCCTTGGCCTGGCTTATGCCCTCTTGCAACCTGGGACCCCTCAGGGGATGTCAGAGAGCTAGTTTCAGCCTGATCCCCGCAGGCCAGGCCAAAGGATCCCACCAGTGCATGAATCTGTGCACCAGGCCTCTCTAATCTTAATATAAAAAGCCATGGTGATCAAAGGTTTTAAGGACACTTTCTCAAAATCCTTATATAATTAATCATAGTACTGTACTAGGTATATATAGTCTTATGCAGGAAGCTACTTTACATTTGAAAAGTCCTTCACACACATTCAACTTGTAATAATTTCCATGTTTAACCATATTGCATTGTATTCCTCTCCTGATATTTCTGAACCGATGATGTAGTTTTGTATGCTGTGTCACATTCACCTGTGTGATGTCCTTTCAGTCCAGGAGCTCTCATTGCAATGGTGAGAGGAAGTGCCAGGGTCCTCTGGATGAGGGGCCCTTAACCTTTTGTAACTTCCTTTACAAGAATCATTGTTTTAAATGACAGAGACTCAGGGAGCTGGAAAAAACTAAACCCCCCAAAATGAAACAACTAGATGATGCCAGTATCTGGAATAAACCTTGGCAAGGTTGAAGAACCAGGAACCCTACAGTGAGAGCCCTTTCTTTGGATAATTCTGCCATCGCTTTGTTTGACAACAGCTTTGGATCAGCCCAAAATGGCAGGAAGCAATGTTTGTTTCCCTGATACAGTGGGCAACATGGATGGAAATAAGTTGTGATTCTAAAAGAACAGTTGACTAATCGAGAGGAGCACTAAGACAGAATGTTCAAGTATGTTTTTCTCTGTTTGTACCCTCTGCTTACTTTTCTGGGTTGTTGAGTTTTTTCATACATTCATTAATAACTCAGGAAGAGTAATTCAGAAAATAAATATTCAAGAGCCTAACCTAATAAAACAGGGTTTTTTATATCATTTGTGACAACATATGTATAATCTTTTAAATCTTTTCTGGATTCTTTAACCTAATAAAATAAATACTTTCTGAATCTTTCATTTAGGGCACCCCGGCCCTGATTTCAACCCTCTGCTCCTATCTGTCTCTTGTTGTACTGTCTGACTCTGTGTAGAAAGCCAAAGAACTGCATAATGTCTACCCTTTATGGGTATAATACCGCTGCTTGTCTCCACAAACCCCTCTGACGCCCAGCCAACACCACACTGAAAGGAAGGGGCAGACCTGGTCTGCTACCAGGCTCAGCCCAGTTCCCTGAGAACAGCTCTTCCCGGGGCCAAGTGCGTGCACGTTTCCCAGAGACAAGGTGATTTTCTGGAGTCACTTGGACATGCACGGCACTAACGAAACCTTAAACCTGAGACCAGCTGGTGAGCATTGTAAGGAGGCTGATCTATTTTGAGTCTCACTTCTCATTTGAGTTGTCACCGCTGTTGTAGACTTCATCCCGCAACTTTGCACAACTGGCAATGCTGAACATAAACCGAAGCCATATGTTTGTGTCCTTTTGCCAAACGACTCCAGCAAATAGTTCTATTATTCCCTTAGGTAGCCAACGGGTGCCAAGGTTTTCTATTAGTTGCTGCAGTGGCCTCTGAGTCACAGCTTTGTAACATAAGGGGGTAATTGCTGGCTTTATGTTTTAGGAAACATTTTTTGTTGTATTTTTTTTAGTGGGCCCTATTTAAAAATAACTCAGAGTTAGTAACACCTAAAAGGGCCTTATTTTTTTTTTCTTCTTACTGATATTTTGAGAGGCATGTGTTGCAAAATAGGTAAATGCTGGCAAACAAGTGCCTTCATATATGGATAAATTATTTTAAATAGATTTTTTCCCCCAAGGACAACCCAATTCCTTACTTTTCAGTGTTTGTAGGAATTAACTTTATGCATCATACAGAGCTTTTTAAAACATGCTTTAAAAACATATCACCTAATCACTTAATCCTTAAGTACTCATTTTCTAATAAAAATTAATTTAAATTGAATTTTTAAAACTATTTTAACACTGAACCTTTCTTTAAGGGCAAAGCTGTGGGCAAATAACATATCCCAATCGATGTGTAAAAGGTTTTTAGGCTCAGAGGACTTCTTCGCTTAATATTTTTTTTTTTTTTTTTTTTTTTATTATTTTTTTTTTTTTTTTTTTTTTTTTTTTTTTTTTTTTTTTTTTACAGAGAGGAAGGGAGAGATATAGAGAGCTAGAAACATCGATGAGAGAGAAACATCGACCAGCTGCCTCTTGCACACTCCCTACTGGGGATGTGCCCGCAACTCAGGTACATGCCCTTGACCGGAATCGAACCTGGGACCTTTCAGTCCTCAAACCTACGCCCTACCACGAGCCAAACCGGCTTCGGCTCGCTTAACATTTTTAAATATCAAAGTGGCCATCTTTCTGACAAAAAAATCACACTTCTAAATTCAGCACTAACAAAACATTTGTTTCAAAACAAATTCACAGAGATAAAGCACTGCTATCCAGGAGAGCCTTTACATGTATGCTTTGATTGGATTCGTTTTCTTTCACTAGATGATACTTTTTCATTAAAAAGGTTGCCTTACCTCTCTGTTTCTCCGGGTAACTTGTATGCCAACTTGGTTTGCCCTGCTTCGTTCGAGTGACTAAATGTCTCTGCCCACTTCAGTGAGAAATCCTAAAATTCATTCTATTAAGATAAAAAGGAAGGAAGTCTATCAGGTAGGGCAAGTTACATAGATCAGTAATAAACAGTGAAGTGCACAATAAATGATGTGCTGACGCTTTTACTTATAATTCAAAGTTGGACTATACCCGTGGTCGGCAAACTCATTAGTCAACAGAGCCAAATATCGACAACACAACGACTAAAATTTCTTTTAGGAGCCAAATTTTTTTTAAACTTAAACTTCTTCTAACGCCACTTCTTCAAAATAGACTCGCCCAGGCCGTGGAATTTTGTGGAAGAGCCACACTCAAGGGGCCAAAAAGCCACATGTGGCTTGTGAGCCACAGTTTGCTGACCACGGGACTACACAATAAAAAAAAAGTACACTACATATCAGTGTAAAAACATTTTTACTTTTTCAGAGGTAAGCCAAGTTTATTTTTGTCTCTATTACCAAACTATATATATTACTAGAGGCCCAGTGCACAACATTCGTGCAAGGGTACGGTCCCTAGCAGCTTCCAGCTGGGGCCTTCCTTCATTCCGCGCTGCTGCCTGGTGGTCAGTGCATGTCAACTCTCGATCGGTCAAACTCCCGAGGGGACACTTTGCATGCTAGGCTTTTATATATATAGACGTCTTCAACTTACCAGGGAAACTGGGCACGAAAGACCCTCTATTCGCACTGTTGTTTTACTTCCAACCACCAAAGGAGAAAGTCCATACACACTTGGAATGTGCTACCCTCAAGTCACAAGACGGATCGAAACTCAGCCTGCTGGTGTGCAAGGCTCTCCTGGAAGAGGCTAATTCTTCTTGCCACTGAGCTAACCTGTTTTCCAGGAAGCAGTTGGCCCTTGGTTTGCTTTGCCCTCAGACAGAAAGCACAGAGCTATAGCACTTCTATTTGGTCTCAGGGATAAGAACAGAATCTGTCTGCAGGCCACGTGGCCCTTGAGAGAGAACTTTGGAATCCGGGGCAGTGCAACTCAGCATCTTAGAGGGCCTGTTCATACCAACATCACATATATCACACACACTGAACATGCTTCTCTCTGGCAGTTCTGGTATTCTAAAACACACACACACACACACACACACACACACACACACACACACACCACCAACCTTCCTTGCCGACTGCTCTCGTCCCGTGTTTTACCCTTTGCAGTGGATTGAAGTGACCGGCTTAGTATGAACCATAGATTTCTCTGTGACTTGCAAGGTTTGACCACACATGAAGCAGATGCTTCTTCAACTCCAAGTCAGCAACTGCGGCTCCCGGGAAGAAGAGGGATGGAAATCTCTCAAGTGCTACAGTAGTCTCCTGCCAGGATGCAAGAATTGAAAAGTAGCATGGGAGTTGGGGAATTCTTAGTCTGTGGTCGGTGGCAGCCAAAAATACGTAAAAAACACTTTTCCCTACAAATGTGTTTGGCTTATTCTGCCTCACCCTCGGTTCAGAAAGAGTTCTGAAGCTTCCCACCTGCCCGTTCCCCCTTTGTCTGCCAGACCCGAACCTAAAACAAAAGATCCTGGAAAACAGTCCCCAACTGGCAAGCAAAGCTCTTTCTAAATCCTAAAAGTAATGGCTTTTTTGTCTAATACCCTATCGTGTTATGTATTTATTAGCAATACGTTTTTCCATTTATTTTCCCAAAGATTGCCAATAAAGAAGGGAATCGCATAAGGGAGTAGCTGTAAACCCTCCGAGTTCCCTAATGTCAAAGTCATTAGCATCAGAATAAGCACACAGCAGCATATCATCTGCACAATTGCAATTTTTTTTTTACTACTTTTAATAGCGTTCCTCCAAGGGCTCGTTTTCAACTTTCTTCCGTGGCGAGTCGGCTCTCAGGGGAAAAGCGGCTTCCTGATGCTCGAAGCTTCCACTCCACAGCCTGGCCGTTGGCTGTCAGACGCACCAGGCCTCTGCCCTGACCCCATCTGCTGCCGCTCCCCTCCCCTCCCCGGGGACCAGAGCGAAGGCTGCACAGCTGAGATCCACTCGGAGACGTGGGCAGAGGGCTGGGGCAAAATGCGACTTTGGAAACATGATTTCTCTCTCTCTCACACACACACACACACACACACACACACACACACACACACACACACACACAGGCTCGAAAAGTCCCAAGGCCACAAAATACATACGGAATGTGCAAGCCCTTCAGGGGCTCCTCATTCCCTGTGTCCATCATCACTCACCCCACCATCCTCTCGGCTGGTGCCGCTGAAATAGGTTCCCTCCATCCCCTGCCTGGGCCCGCTATTTATATTTTGAAGGCAATCCCTTAAAACCCCATTTTTTTTTAAATATATTTTATTGATTTTTTTTTTTTTTTTTTTTTTTTTTTTTTTTTTTTTTTTTTTTTTTTTACAGAGAAGAAGGGATAGGGTTAGAGAGTTAGAAACATCCATCAGCTGCCTCCTGCACACTCCCCACTGGGGGTGTGTCCGCAACCAACGTACATGCCCTTGACCGGAATCGAACCTGGGACCCCTGAGTCCACAGGCCGACGCTCTAATCACTGAGCCAAACCGGCTAGAGCAAAACCCCATTTTTATTCATTGCCACACTTTAATCTCTTTTGCTAATCTTAAACCACTTTATAACACTTACAGCCTCACTAAAATATTTATGGGAAATACGCATTTTGGAAGACAGCTAACCTGGTCAAGACTTGGGATCTTGACCAAGCTCCCACACCTGGCAACAGAGTTCATTCTAGCTGCACACTGAAGCTCGTATTTTTCTAAAACAGCAATTGTAAGAGATAAAACGGCATGACAACTAAGGTGTTAGTCATCTAATGGGCTACCGAATCTTTAAGTGTGCACTCCTAAGACATGTCTCTGTGACCCTGGGAAGTGTTTCCCAGTGGTTAGAGCCCTCCCCCATGAACTGAAGGATCTCAGGTTTGACTTCCGGTCAAGGGCACATACCTGCGTTGCAGATTTGATCCCTAGCCTTGGCCAGGGTGGGTGCAGGAGGCAACCAATCCATGTGTCTCACACACCAATGTTCCTCTCTCTTTCTCTGTCTCCCCCCTCTCTCTCTTCCTCGCTCCCTCCCTTCAACTCCCTCTAAAAATTAATAGAAAAAAGTATCCTCGGGAGGATTACCAAAACAAAGGCACGGCTTTACTTGTTTAATGGAGTCATCGCAAAGTACTCCATTTGCCGGCTTTACTATGTGCCAGTAATTAGGGACTCAGTTCTTTACAGCTGCTTCCTGGGTGCATCCCTGCCTCTGAAAGGGCTTTTTAAACCTATGACACAATGTAATGAATCTGCTGTGTTATTAAGAGCAAAAAAGGCATATCAGATTATATTTGATTGGGAGGCGGCGAGTGACCTACAGTGAGATGATGTATATGTCAGTTGTATCCTTAAAGCAGAGAATCACAGATTTACCTGTCTTTCCAAACCAAAAAATAATAATAATAATAATAAAAATTTTAAAAAAAACCTGCAACATTTAAAAAAAAAATCCTCCAACTAGACTCAAAGTAAAAAAATGGGATGAGAAGACAAATAAGTGTAACGTGAAATGCATGTACCCTGTTTCCCCGAAAATAAGACAGTGTCTTATATTAATTTTTTTCTCCCAAAGTTGTGCTAGGTCTTATTTTCGGAGGATGTCTTATTTTCGGGGAAACACGGTAGCACTTGGCGCCCTGTGTTATAACTGAGATGATGAGCTCGCCACAGCCACCCACTGGTTCCTGGGATTTGCCCGTCTATTTCAGTCAGGTTGCAAAGGCACGACAGGGCCCGCCCAGAATCAGTGTCTTAAGAAGTAAAATGAAAGCAGCAGCATGCCAGCATGTTTACCTGAGCACTGCTACCTCCATCTCCACAACTTCAAATATTATAGTTCGAGTCTCTTAATCCCTCTTCTGTCTTTAACATCTTTACCAACCATTCATTAGTTGGAATGATGGAGGGTGGGGGCGGGGTTCTTCTCACCTGTTTATTTTTGTGAATGGCATAGCAAGCCCTTTGCAGCTCTAAGTGTCCAGCTGTATTTTTATATTCATCAGGGTGATATTTTAAGTTAGAGTTCAATTTCGTACAAACTTTAAGGATGTCTTCGCCCGGATAATCAAATTCTTCGGTTTCCCATTTCCCGTTTCGCTGTATTAAATTTCCCATGAACTTGTAAGCCCCTTACTTCCTGATCAATGAGCTATAGAATTGTTTTCTTCCCATTATAGCGAGAGACATTTAGAAATTGATTCACAAAAATTCTGTAAGCCAGTTGCCACTTTATACTGAGGCCTGAAAGATGACAGTCTGGTTAGCTTTTAAACTTAAACTTCTTCTAACGCCACTTCTTCAAAACAGACTTGCCGAGGCCGTGGTATTTTGTGGACACTCAACGGGCCAAAGAGCCAGATGTGGCTCGAAAGCTGCAGTTTGCCGACCAGGGCTTTAGGCAAAGAAAAACAATGTGGCCCTGGATGGTTTGGCTCAGTGGATAGAGCATCGGCCTGCAGACTGAAGGGTCCCGGATTCAATTCCGGCCAAGGGCACATGCCCGGGGTTGTGGGTTCAGTCTCCAGTAGGGGGCGTGCAGGAGGCATCCAATCAATGATTCTCTCTCATCCTTGATGTTTCTCTCTCTTCCTCTTCCTTCCTCTCTGAAATAAAAAAGGAAAGGAGAGAGGAAAACAGAGGGGAGGGGAGGGGAGGGAAGGGGAGGAGAGGAGAAAGGAGGAGAGGGGAGGGGAGGGAGGAGAGAAAAGGGGAGCAGAAGAGAGGGGAGGGAGGGGAGGTAAGGGAAAGGAGGGGAGGGGAGGGGAGAGGATGGAGGGGAGGGGAGGGGTTGGAGGGGAGGGAAAGGGAGGGGAGGGGAGGGAGGGGAGAACAAGGGGAGGGAGGGGAGGTGAGCGAAAGGGAGGGAAGGGGACGGGAGGGGAGCCACAAGCTTTCCTTTTACCATTAGCCCATCATCAGGCCCTGATCCCACTAGGGGCGGAGAAGAGCTTCCGGGCATGAACGCTCTGCAGGAGGAACTGCTCCGCTGTGGAGTGAGCCCCTTCCTTTCAGGGAGGGTGTTTGGGTTTTAACTCATTACACAGCCAACCAGATGCAGTCTCTGCTATTAGCAGTCAAGTTGCTTTTCAGATCCATTTTGATCTTTTTTTTTCTTTTGGCTTCCCCACGTGGCCACTGAAGTTCAAATGTCAATAAAACTTGTTATTCAGTATAGTTTGTGCTTTGGAAAGAACAAAACTAAGACTGGTCCATGTACAACATTTCCACGGATGGATTTCATTGGTTCTCCCTGGCTTGCTTGGGTTTATACAATTCTTTTTTTTTTTTTTTTTTCAAGGAATTCTAAGTACAAGGAGTGCAAAGGCAACTCTGCTCTCTCAGAAAACGCAATTTCTGCTTTGCAAACTGCGGAAGTCGTACCGAGCGCCCGAGCTTCAAAACAACTCCTGTTCCCACCGTCTCTGAAGTAATTGTACTTGTCCTCGCAGGCATTAGTGTCTGTGTTTGTCCTTCCAGCACCTGGAACACGAGCACACGGGCCTCTTCCCCCTCAACTCCGGTAACTTGTTCCAGATCCGTGTTTCTCAGGGCAAGAGGATTTGACTTTCACCTGATTTCAGTAACAAAATCGCCCTCGCAGACCCCTCCCGCCTGGCTGCCATTAACATAACTGCATTTAGATGCTATTCATGACGGATAATTCCAACACCTTGTGGGGAGGGAAAAGTTGCATGCTGTAAACATTATAAACATATTCAAATAAGCTTAGCACAATCTGCCATGCTTATTTCTGCCTAGATCATGGACCAGTGAAATGGTTAATGCAAATGGATTTATAATTTGCTTTGGGGGGCCAGTTTCTTCTCCTTATTTATTAGCCCAGCTGATGGGGCAGATTTGATGAGGCACTTCTGGAATAATTGAGTCATCACACAAAGAAGGCTGCTAGCATTCAGAGTGGTTTTATCAGCAGCAAGCAGGCCTGATTACTGACAATTACACTCTGATCCGGTGATGGAGGAGAAAGAGCCAACGAGTGGGAAATGTCCGTGTTTCTATCCAGGAATAATTTCTACATTCATTTTACATGCTAAGTGTTTCCTATCTCTGCATAATAAACTGTAAACAGGAATAGATGGCACAATGTCCCTTAATATTTCCTGGTAATGAAGACACAAATGTACAGTGAGTGCTGATAAATATAGATGAAACATAAGCTATTCTCCTAGTCTGCATTGTTACCTTTAAAACAAATGCGTTTTGGTGGTAAAAGCATCATCATGGCTAATGCAAAAAAATGACAGAAGATTGAAACTGTCCTTGTAACTACACAGAAACTTTGTGAAAGTCCTGTTAATCACCGCCATTTCAGAGGTTGGGGAGCGAAGGTGAGATGCTGGAAACCACATCGTTTTTGTTTCTCAACCATCAACCTGGAAGAGCTCCTTGGCTTAGATTCAGGGAGAAACAACGCTGAAAGTGACCTCCATCACGCTACCCCAAGAAGCAGCATAGCTGGCCAGGGAGACACCTTCTTGGTGTCCTTCATGCCAGCCATGCCAGCCATGGGCGTCCATCTCCCTTCCCTGGGGACTCTCAACACCATGTTGACCAAGAGCAAGTCAGGCCGGACCCCAGGCTGCATGATTCGCCATGGAGCACAGGGCACTGCTGTCCTTACTACTTGTTTGTGACGTGGTTTATGAACCAAACACTCTGAGCAGAAATGCATCTCCCGGAGATAATCGCATTAAGCTGGCTTTCCCTCCGACTCAGGATCTAGTGTGAAACGCCAGAGGAAAGAATGCTCAGATTTCTTAAGGCGCTGCTATAGATTTCGGTGGGGGGAAGAAAAACGTTCATTTCTGGGAATTTATCAAGAGTTTCCTCTTCTAAAAAGCCAACCGGGTGTGCGGCCCTAGACACAGTACAGGACCTGCTTGGTTCTGTTTGTGTCATTCTTTTCCTGAAGCCCCTTCCTGGCTTCCAAAGAAATAAAAGTTATCCTCTGTTCTCTATGGTAACTATGGAAACTCTGTTCTGTTAAACTAGGCACTCAACTCCCAGGCTTGTGTTGCCATTAAATGTGCTATTTTGAGTAAATCCATACTACACATGCATACAATGTCAAACCGTTTTGAATAAAGTTCAGAGAGCCACTTGTTGCTTCAAATATGAAGCTTTTTATTAGGTAAAGGGAATTTTCTTTTTTTAAAGCTATTTTGTTATATAGTTTATTATAAAATATGCTTTATAACTTAGGTGCTTTCTGCTTTCCTTTATCCATTTTATAAGGTATTTTAGAATTTTTTCCCCAACAAGTCTGCTGTTTTTCCCAACAGTAGCTGTTTGTTTTTCATGGAGATAAAAAAACAATCATAATAAAGTTATTTATCATCATTATGTGACTAGCAAGTATGAAATGGGAGAACCTACTGAAATTTACAAAGAAAACGACGTGATTCCCAGTTGATGAGGACAATGGGCACTGGTTTTTTGCAGCATTTTAATCTCACTCCAGTGTTTAACTTAATATGCATTATTTTAATACAAGTACCTTTTTCCTAAAAAAAAAAAATATACTATTGGCTCAATTCACATTGCTAGACAGCGGGCAGTAAAAGATATATAAACCCTAACTCTTGTCCTCATGAGTACAGACCAGCAATTGATGATTCCAGTAAGTGGGAAGTATGGCTACGGAGAGAGGCAGAGGGGGAAATGGGAGCACAGGCTTAGACCACCCTGGGGAAAAAAGCTTCTAGAAAATGATGATTACTTTAGAATTCATCCCTAGAGAGATTCAGAGAACTTTAACTAAAATAAATAAATGTCCCCCAAGACCAATCGGAAAGATGCAAAAAGTCAACATTGTGCGTGGTTCCGTTACACGATGTATTAAGCCAGAGAGTTGCAAAAGGGTCAAAGGAGAGTAGATGGTAAAATGAAATGTCTGCGATTAAATGTTTAGAACTTGTGCATTTCATTTGTCGCTTTCAAAGAAACTTTTCCCTTCAGAGCCAGAACCGCAGAATCTATCCACTGAAATGGGATGTCTCGCTCCTGTTGGGGCTCAAGGGACAGTATTTCACAGAAGTGATGTGTCCCCAAAGTGTTTGGATGGCACCTTCATCTTGACTATTATGCTTGGCCTGGTTTTATACTTACTCCTGTCCACTTCCTGTTCTCTGTGCCCAGTATAAGCTCATGGGAGTGAGAGGCCAGATCCTGTTGACCTTGTACTGCGACATAACGGTTGCAACCAGAGTAGGGGAATTGAATTGAAACAAACAAATAATAACCCTCTTCAGATGCCTGAGATACTTCATTAATTGTAGTTCAATATAAAACATCCCAGGTACACGGCATCTAGGATTCTATAGAGTAAGACTGTTTCTGTTTTGTTTCTATGCCAACTAAAGAGAATTTGCCTTTTTGTCTTCCCTTATGTTGAAGATGTCAGTCAGCTCCCAGATGCAAAGAAGAGCAAACATGACCTTTTTGTGGTCAGCTTTTTACCTAATGTCTACTATCACTTAATTTATATAAGAAGCCCAGTTTGTGATTTGATGTGGTTCTTTTGTGAGAACAAAAGCCAAAGGGAAAAATCGAAATACAGCCTATTTTTCCCTATTTGGCATGAAAATAATCTAAAAGATCTCCAACTCACTCAACCTATACCCAAGTTCCCAGTTTTTATATCTCACTTTTCCTACACATGCTGTGTCAGAATGTCCTGACTATTATGCACTTATATTTTATTTCAAACTAATGACATTTGTACTGGAGATAAAGTAGCACTAATCATGAGTAAAGACAAAAGAAATCTTTTATTTTGCTCAAAATAGTAAGTGACAGTATCTTCTAACTAACGATAGCTCACCTTGACTGAATTCTTCGCAAGAAAGCATTTTGTCACTATTTATATGCCCTTTCTCCTGAGTCCGAATGGCCTGCCTATAGGGAAGGTGCTATCAATTTCCCATAAGAATAAAGGCAACAAAGTGAGCTCACTGCCTTACCCACTGTCCCCACGGGTGGCTAGATGTTCCAATAACATGTACTCATTTGCACTTTGGATGATAGGCATTGTGTTCACACGAATATCACGTGGAGAATTATTTTTGGAGTGGGGAGGGGTATAGCAAAGCAGAAGACAGAAATCCCAGAGTTGGTGACAATCACCATTAGCATCTACTAAGTGAACCTTCCAATTCCTAAAGACTCTCAGTCTTGCCCTAACCGTTGGCCTGTAGTCTGATGGGGTCCAAGGTCAGATTGTGAATAGAGCGTTGACCTGTAGACCTAAGGGCTCCAGATTCAATTCCAGTCAAGGGCACGTACCTTGGTTGCAGGCACATCCCCAGTAGGGGGTGTACAGGAGGCAGCTGATGGATGTTTCTCTCTCATCAATGTCTCTAACTATCCCTCTACCTTCCTCTCTGTAAAAAAATCAATAAAATACTTTAAAAAAAAAAAAAAGATTCTCAGTCTTGGGCTCTCACTCTTCACTCAAACACTGGAAACTCTTCATAGAATGTTATATGGCCAACAGCAAAATACATCCCATCTATTGGCTGGCTTATTTATCTTCCATATTAGTTTCCTTTTGCTGTTGTAACACATTTTCACAAATGTAAAGCCAACACAGATATGTTCCTGTACAGCTGTGGAAGTCCGTCGTCTGGTACGGTCGCACCAGGCTGAACTTGAAAGTCGGGCTATGGCTCTTCTGGAGGCCCCAGGAGAATTCATTTCCTTGCTCATCTGGGCTGCTGGCAGCCTCCAGTTTCTTAGGATGCTAGGACTGAGGTCCCTATTTTCTTGCTGGTGGTACTCTAAGAGCTATTTTTAGACTCTAGAGGTCTCTGCATTCCTTGATTCATAGCTACAGGTCTCCATCTTCAACGCCGCAATTGGTGAGTTGAGTTCTTCTCAAATTGGCATCTCTCTAACCCATTCTTCTGCCTTTTTCTTAACTACGAACAGTGTGATTAGTTGGGCCTACCTGGCTAATCCAGGGTAATCTCTCTACTCAATGTCCTTTATTTAATCGCATTGCCTGGTAAGGTGACCTAGTCACAGGTTTTAGGAATTAAGACATAGACATTTGGAGTGGGGGTGGGGGGATGGGGGATTGGAATTGGGGTTGAGAACAAATATGTGATATCTTAATCAATAAAGAATTTTTTTTTAAAAAGACAGACATTTTTGGGGGGGGGGGGGAGACAGGCATTATTCTGCCTACCGCATTCCTTAACTATGAACATGAATTTCAATGTGTTAACGTGTTAATGCTCCTTATATGAGACAAGTGAAGTCATAAGTCAAGATGAGCAGGTAGACACACTCCTCAAAAATATAAGGATGCATCTCAAATTACCACGATGATACGAACAGTGATAAAGTCAACGATTTTGGGTTGTCCCCTAAACACAAGTGCCTCAATAACTCAAGTTTGTGAAGGGCGTTGAAAATAAGGGATTACTTTTCTTTGGGGGGAAACTTTAATTTTAAATAGTCTTCACTTACCTTCACTCACACCCATTGGATTTGAACTGGAGAGTTTCCATTGCTATTGACAAGAAGCATCATCAGAGGAAAAATGAAGAAAAAAAAGAAAAAACTTAATTAAGTAGTAATTAGGTACAGCTTATTGACTATATAAAACAATCCTTTCAAGTGATTTACACGCTGACTATTCATGTATGGGTTGGGGTAAGACCAATCTTCCATAGTCAAGCAAAATATTCCTTAGAAAGAATTCTCCCCCAACAAGCAAAATAAGTGTCTACTGCTTTCAGAAAATGCTTTTTAAATTTGAGCCCTATTGTATAGAAGTACATTTGAGAACCTTTTCTAGGGACACACCTGAGAGTGAACGTGAAAATTATCAATGACAGTCTTTAAAAAAAAAAAAAAAAAAAAAAAAAAAAAAAAGAATCAGTGGTTTAACACTAATTTCTAATCAGATCCTACAGAAAGGAACAGCCCGCATGGCAGCTGTACTTTTCCCAGGGTTAATTACCTTTCTCTGCTCTCTGCTAATGAGTCAGCTGTTCCTGTCATCGCACACTACACTGGTTCATCTGGAGTTCTAGCTGTGGACAAACACCGAGTGACAGTCCTATTTACATGAGGGGGAGGGGGGGAGGCTGTTGTGCAAAAATTTCAAAAGGATTTTTTTAATCCTTTAATTCTCATGTGTTTCCATGCTAAAAAAATATTTTCGCAAATCAGATTTTACTTGGTCAACTATTCTTTTCCTCCACTGGATTCACCACTGGCAAATGTAAAATGCCAAATGCTTAGGATGAAGCAAACTGCAGCATTGCCTCCCTCAGAATGTTTTGTTTTACTAATTCCTTAGCATCATAACAATTACCCTGTCTAAGACACAGCCTGGAAAATCTGCAACTTGTTTCACTAGTTACAAAGACTTTCTAAAAAGATTCACTACCAAAAATTAAAGTCCAAGGTAGAAAATAATCTCATGTGAAAAGACACAAAACATAGCTTGGGTTTATTTGTATATGCAAAGTGAATTAGAAAACTGAGTTTTTGAAAAAATTTCAACTTTCACCTAATATGTCTAGATCATTGTGTGATATATATATATTATCTATATGTGGGATTATGGAATATATATATACCATATACTAGGCACACAATTTATTACCCAGATAATAGCTCTGCTATCCAGATAATGGCTCTACTCTCCATCTCATAATCTAGACAGTGTGCCTTTAAATATTTTTTTTAATATTGCAACCAAGAGATTTATACATCTCTTTCCCTCACCTTTTATTTTAAATTTCAGAGAGAACTAAGAGGAACATAAAATCAGTAAAGTATCCATTGAGTTCCACTTTGACAACCTCCAAAATGCCTCTGAGTAGAGGATACTCCCACACTGGTGACATTCCTGCTATAAACCTCAGATCAGTGGCTCTCCATTTTTCACGTGCATCTGGATCACCTAGGCATTGTGTTACAATGTAGGTCCTGACTCCGGCACCCTCAGGTCCGACATTGCTAATAAGGGCCCAGGTGCGCCTGCTGACCCATGGACCACACTTCGAATAGCAAATGTCAGAGCAGGGGTTCCCACACTTTGGTTGGCATCAGAGCCATGGGCTTGTTAAAGCACAGGTGACTGATGGGAAGTCTGTGATGAGGACTGAGGATGTAAATTTCTATCCAGTTTTCAGATGATACTGGTGCTGGTGGTTTGGGGACTAAACTCTGAGAATCGTTGCCTTGGATATTTACCATCAGATGCACTGAAACAACTCAGTTCCCAAAGGCTAAATGCATCCACATGAAACGGAAATGCTTCCACTTTATTCCAGAGTTGTTTGTCTGCTTTGTGTTTTAATACTTTATGATAGGAAGGAACAGATAAAAAGTGAATGTCCTGGCCTATCATTACAATGTACAACGAAGTACATTCTGAGAACCACTTCATAGTTTCCTGAACTTGATCTTCCCTTCAGATGGGCCCACGCATGTCAACACAGAAATAACAATTATTTACTCCTTCATCTCAGGTGTCATTAACAACTGCAAGCACACAAATTACAAATATAGGACTGCACAGCATTTAAACGTGCCAAGAGCAAATACAATATGAAAACGAATTCATTAAAAATTATATAATACACACAAACTTCAATGTCAAGCAATGATGCAAAGTTCCTCGAGGCATTCATTATTTTTCCAGCTCTGGGAAATTCTCACCTTTTCTAAATGGTGTGAGTGTCTTATATGTATACACTGCATGAAGTTTCCTTTTCATTGCTTCTGTTTTGAAGAATATTATCATGAAAACTTCTTGAAGGATGAAAAGCCTTTTATTCTAATACTAAAGATATATTTGCATTGCTGTTCATGTAAATATCTCAGTGATAAACCTCTTAAAAGGACATTTTGCAACGTAATGCATAGGAATACATATACACTGAGTGGTCAGATTATTATGCGTTCAGAGATCATAATAATCTGACCACTCAGTGTGTGTGTTTATATGACCCGGTGCATGAATTCATGCATGGGTGGGGTCTGGCCAGCCTGGCCAAGGGGAGGAGACATGAGTGGTTGGCCGGCCTGCCTGCTGGTCGAACTCCTGGTCGAGGGGACAATTTGCATATTAGCCTTTTATTATATAGAATATACACTGAGTGACCAGTTTACTATGTGTTCAGAGATCATAACAATCTGGCCACTCAGTGTATTAGGAAAAGGAACATGCAACCAGTTGGTGATAAGATAAGTTACAGAATGAACCCTGGCTGAGTGTGGTACAGGAAATACATGGAAGGTGAGTTTACAAACTAGTTACCCTCTGAGCGGAAATTAAGCACTTTAGCACTGGGCTGCTCCAATCAGAAAAAAATATATATTTATTTATTTTCCTGAAACCCAAACTTGTTAAATAGGACTGCAGTAACGCTGGAGGAAGATGGCTTACTGTAAGAAATATCAGTGAGCACATAAGGAAGGCTTTCAAGGGATAAATGCCACTCTTGGATTCTCACGCTCCTTATTTGGTTGTGCTCCCCCACTGACATTGATTAACAAAGCTACTTTAAAATCATCAATCTCACCTCAATAGGAGCAGATGAGATGATAGTGTCACTGATAAGGAATTTGATTGTATCTGTGTAACCCACCCTTTCAGTACAGAACAGTATTAATTAATGAATTCATAATATATTTACTCAAGTTTTCATTAAGCACCTATTCTTTTGGAGAAGAGGAGAAACTGTTTACATAAACAAGTGGAGTCCTCAGTAAGTGGAGAGGGGTTTATGGTGTGTGCATGAGAAATGCTCTAAGAGTATAGGCATTTCTGTTGTGGAAATCAAAGAGACAATAAAATAAAAAATCTCTGAGGAGCCCTAGCCAGTTTGACTAAGTGGATAGAGTGTCATTGGACTGTGGAATGAAGGGTGCCAGGATCAATTCTGGTCAAGGGCATATGCCTCTGGTGCGCAACCAATCAACACATCAATAATGTTTCTCTCTGTGTGTCGCTCCCCCTCCCTTCCACTCTCTCTAAAAATCAATGGGGAAAAAATCCTCAGATGAGGATTGATTCACACACACACACACACACACACACACACACGTCTGTGAGGAGATGTGGGTGCCCATTTACATTTTGGTAACTGGAGAGAACAATCTGCTGGGCTCCTTAAAAACTCCCCTTCAGAAGTATCGATATGCCCACCAGGGTATGTAGTTTGAGCCAAGCACTCATAACCATACACTTTGAGAAGAGAAGTACACTTAGTTAGCATGGACTGAGACTTCCTGTGAATATGGAGATCCTAAACCACATGTGTCAAACACAAGGCCCGCGGGCCAAATCCGTCCCGCCAGGCCTTGCAATGTGGCCCGCACCGCGCTGTCATCACTGTACTCCGCTGCGTTTCCATCACAATGACAGTTTATGACTGTTCAGTAAACCATTTGGCCCGCGATTTAGGCTGGATTTTAGATTTTGGCCCCTTCTCTGATTGAGTTTGACACCCCTACTAAACTGATCTCTCTCCTTGGATGATTTTTAAGCGTTATAATGAGTCAAACTAAATGAGTGCCTTTGGTCATTTGACCATCTGGTTCTGTCGTCTCCTGTGGTTAATCACAGGTCACTACAGTTCACATCAGGCATTTTGTCCTATGCTTAACCAATTCCAGCCTATTAATTTTATTGGCTTTCATTGGTCAGTTGGTATCTCTCTATATCACAATATTATTTTAGCTATAATCATGACTGAGGGAATCTGACCTAAGTTTTCTGTCTGAAGTAACAGAATACATATTTTTTAGCTACATTCAAATTTTTCCCAAAAAGCGTGTGCAAGAAGAAAATGCCTTGGGCCCAGCCAGTGTTGCTCAGTGGGTGAGCATCGATCTATGAACCAGGAAGTCACAGTTCGATTCCCAGTCAGGGCACATACCCGGATTGTGGGCTCAATCCCTAGTAGGGGGTGTGGAGGAGGCAGCCGATCAATGATTTTCTCTCATCATTGATATTTCTACCATTCTCTCCCTCTCTCTACCTCTCTGAAGTCAATAAAAATATTTTTAATATATATTTTATTGATTTTTACAGAAAGGAAGAGAGAGGGATAGAGAGTTAACATCAATGAGAGAGAATCATTGATCAGCTGCCTCTTGCACACTCCCTACTGGGGATTGTGCCTTGACTGGAATCGAACCGGGAACCTTTCAGTCTGCAGGCCGACACTCTATCCACTAAGCCAAACCACTCTATCCACTAAGCAATAAAAATATTTTTTTAAAGAAAAAGAAAATGCCTTGTAAGAACTATAGAATTCTTTCAAAGACCTAATTTCCACAGTGTTTTCAAAGTGAATAATGGGAGTGCTCATGAAATGAAGGCTTTTGTCTGAGTAATATAGATAGGTTTCCATTTATTTTGTTAAATCCTCCTGTCTCGCATCTGGGTTCCATGTTCCCATAGGAAGCTATACCTACTCCCAGAATAGCACCTGGCTGCCAAAACCAATTTGGCTCAGTGGACAGAGCATCGGCTTGCGGACTGAA